GGAGCCCTGCTCTTCAGCCTGGGCAGCATTGTGAGCAAGGGCACTAGGACATCTGTGTTTCAGCTGGAGGACTCTGCCACTGACCAGCTGGGTGACCTGTATAAGATTCTTAGCCTTTCTGTCTCAGTTTCCTGATCAGTAAAACAAGGATCATAATTATATCCTTTCTACAACATGGGCCTTTAACAGGTAACATACAAAGCACTTGGAACAGTGCCTAGTTCTTGTTAAGTGCTAAAGACATGTTAGTTATTATGTGTCAGAATTACTGGTCCTTCTCCACTCATGTTTTTGATAGAATTTTGACATCAACTCATAGCTTCTTGCCCCATATTTATTATGGAGACACTATGGCACTACAGAAGGTGGGCAATCCAATTACACAGGCCTGGTTTAAATTCCTGGCTCTGCTTTTCCTGGGTACATTTGCTACCAAATCTCAAGCTTGACGACTATTTAAAAAAAGAAAAAAAATAAGCCTCATCCAGAGTCAACAGGTGGTACGAAGGTTAAGACAGCTGAATCCCACAGAGACAACTGTGTAGTTTGAGTTCCGGACATGGCAGCTTAAAGAACACAGCAAATATGTGTGCATGCACCCCAACATCCCAAGAGGAGAATGGAGGAAAAGAGACTGTGGCATGACCATCTCCCATGGGGAATGACTTCTCACTTTCTCTTTCTCTCTCTCTGTCTGTCTCTCTCTAGTAAACTCCTGTGCCCTATAACAACAACAAAATTCTTCATCCATAAGTGTGATTCATGCCACTGCCCTAACAAGGCCAAGGTAAGGATAAGAGAGATCAGAGTTAGTAAAGCAATTATAACAGTGCCTGGAGTCACAGATCATCAACAAATGAGATTCATATTATTTTTCTCACTTGTAGTCATAGGAATGAAACCTGGTTCTTTACTGTATCATGAAACATGAAAAAAAGTTTATACTGTTTATAAGAAGGTTTTAAAAAAAAATCTATAATCCATCTCAAACTAGAGGAATGTCCATGTTATTATTGATCCTATTAGACTAAAACATAATGACAGTTCAAACTGTAAATCTACCTGAGTTTTCGCCTCCACTGCTTCTTAATACAATTTAATTGCAGAACACACAGACTCTAGTTCCAGACCCATTTTCTTTTCTTCTTCGTCTCCTTTCTGCATGATCCACATGCTGTGAGGACTTTGTCAGGTGTACATACCTGGCCCTACTCATTGTACACCTGCTTCCAACTCTGGGCAGAACTGCCTCAACAGAGAGACAGTGGTCCGTATAGAGTCTCCACAAAGAGGGGCAAAGGGTATGCTTAGGATTTGTACCACAGGGAAGAAACTGAACTCTGATGAGCAGAATATGGTAAATCAACAGGCATTAGACCACAGGTTCTTATCACTGAAAGTTGTGACCCTGAAATACTCTCCCTGTGAAAACTGGAAAAAGGAGCCTTCCCATACACCAGACCATTTGTAAGTGACAGTCGGAAAAGCAGAAGGAAAGGACACTGCCTGTACCTGATTTTTCTCTTTTGGTGGTCCTTTTCACCACAGTCTGTGACAAAGCTATCATTCTACCTTCCTACGTTTTATAGAATGCAAAGGTAAGCCTGAAAGTAGTGTAGCTGGTATAAGAATCCTGTCTGTCTGAAATTTTCTGCTTCATTATTCTATTTGTAAAGAGAAGTAACAAGAATAGGTAGATACAACCTCCTCTTTCTTCTTTTCACTTAGGGACCAATTTGAGAATCTAATGAAAACAAAGACTTTCAAAGAAATTTTCATATACTTTTGGTGGATGTGAAGGACCTCACACCATGAGGTTCAATCTATATTCTGTGAGACCTTTGTAAACCTTCAATAGCTTTAGACTATTCTGAGAACCTTAGGAAATCAATGAGCAGAAAAGCAACCCTAGGAGTCTGACAGAAACCTAAGTTCAGGGTTTGCAACCTACAGTCTGTGGGCAAAATCTACTTTTGTAAATAGTTGTTTTGTTTTTAAGTAAGAGAGAGATTTTTGCTATGGGGTACGTGTGCTCACCAGAGACAGAAAGCAAGAAATCAACCCCCGGGGGGATGGCCACGCCGCAATCCCTTCTCCTCTATTCTCCTCTCAGGATCTTGGGCATGCACCCACATGTGTCTGTCCAGTGTTGAGTTTTAAGCCGCCAGGTCTTGGACTTGAACCACGGTCAACTACATGGTAGTTTAGCACCGTAACCATTATGCCATTTGCTGGTCTCTGTAAGTACGGTTTTATAGGAGTACAGGCATGTTTCTCATTTACATATTGTCTATGGCTGCTTTTGCACCACTGGCAAAGTTAAGTAATAGCAGCAGAGATTGTAGGTCTATAAAGCCTTAAACTTACTCTCTACCTCAGAAAAGTATGCAAATCCCAGACCTAAGCCATGAATGAGAGACTATACTTCCTCTAAGGGAAGCTTATAGTATAAGAAGAAGCACACTGCCAGAAAAGGCATCATCTCAAGATTTTTAAGATGAGGAGAAATTAAAAAAAAAAAGAAACATTTGCCAGCACAAACTGATTAAATGGTAGGTTGCATTCCAGTCAGCAATGCTCTTTCAGTGGGCATAAAATCTCTTCCTGACTTAGGGGGAAGTCAGAGAAATGATCATAATTAAACACTGTTGCCAAATGTAACAGTGTAAGAATTAGCCAAAAGGTCTCTCCATAAATGCTCTTTTGGCAAGGGACTCAGATTGTGTGCACAATGAGAGAAGAATGTGGTAAGGAGGGCTTCATGAGATACCTGGCAATACCTAAAGAACTAAATGGAAAGGAATTTGCGCTCAAGCTAGTGTTGGCGGCTGCCACCCTGACGTGGCCATGCACTGCCCCTGCCCTGGTTATGCAGGCCCTTACCCAGCCCATGGGTGGTGTGGCTGAGTGGGCACCCTGAATGCAGTGTGAGGTCCTCTGTGGGGCCCAGAAGAGCAAGGAGCTTGGCAGCACTGGGAAACCTGTGTTCCTTCAGGTCCTGCACAGGATGGGAGCTTTGAAAGTCTGACATGCCAGAGGACTCAAGACTAACCTGTTCACAACTTAGTAAAAGAATGACCTGCTGGTTGCATGAACAGCAAGAAATGCATATACTTTGAAAACCCTGTGACATCCTCATTGGTAATGGCAGTTCCAGAATTCTCACAAGGCTCAGGATCTGGAAAGCCCCTAGGACCTTCAGAAATGGGAGTGAAGTAACAACTAAAATAATAAATGTTGAGTAGAAGATGTCTGAGAATTGGTGAAACAGAAACATAAAACTGAACCCCTATCTCTCACTACTAACAAAAATCAACCAAAATGGGTCAAAGATCTAATCCTAAGAACTCAAACTATAAAACTACTGGTGGAAAACACAGAAGAAATTCTTGGAGAAATAGGTGTAGGCCCAGACTTCTTACATAAGACCCCCCAAATACACATAATAATCCCCAAAATAGACACTTGTCTATTTCTGTCTATTCATGTCTATTTTTTATTGCTTTTGAACAGAAAAAGAAGCAATAATTAGACTGAACCTTTAAATAGGAGACTATATTTGCAAACTATGCCTCAGATAAGAGACTAATAACTAGAATATACAGGGAACTCAAGTAGCTTACTCAATAATGATAATAACAATAAAAATAATAATCAATGCAATTAAAAGATGGGAATATGAGCTGAACAGACAACTCTCTAAGGAAGACATACGAACAGCCAAAAAGCATATGAAAAAATGCTCTACATCACATAAGGAAGATGCAAATCAAAACCACAATGAGATACCACCTAGTCCCAGACAGAATGGCTAAGATTTAAAAAATAAAGAATGGTAAGTGCTGGCAAGGCTGTGGAGAAAAGGAAACCCTCCTACACTGCTGGTGGGAATGTAAATTAGTACAGCCACTGTGGAGGACAACATGGAGATTCCTCCAAAACCTATATATAGGACTATCCAGCAGTTCCATTCCTGTGCATCTAGCCAAAGGATAGGAATGAACCCAGCTGGAAAAAATTAATTGCACATTCAGGTTTATTAAGGCATAATTCACAATTGTCAAAGACATGGACCCATCCTAAATGTCCACAAACAGATGAATGGAATGAAAAAGGTGTGGCAAATATACACGATACTACTCAGCCATAAGAATGAGACCATGGCATCTGATAGAAAGTGGATGAATATGGGGACCAGCAGATAGTGTAATGGCTACATTGCTGGACTTCCATGTAGTCGACTGTGGTTAAAGTCCCAGACTCAGTGGCTTAAACTCACACCGGGCATGTGTGCATGCGTGCCCAAGATCCTGAGAGGAGAATGGAGAAGGGATTGCGGCATGGCCATCCCCCGGAGGGGGGGTGATTTCTCACTTTCTGTCTTTCTGGCGAGCACATGAGCCCTATAGCAAAAACCTCTCCAAAAAAAAAAAAAGAAAGAAAGTGGATGAATGTGAAAGATTTAATGCTAAGTAAAGCAAACCAGACTATGAAAAAGAGGCATTATAGTCCCCACTTAACATACACTGAATGTCTGCCCTGTATGGCTTAAACTGAATGACTGGAAGGTATAAAGGTATGGAGAGCAACTGTGGGTACTAGAGACTGTGGAAAGAGGGTGAGAGATGAAGGAATGTGAGAACGAGGGAATCAAGGGGGGAAAGAGAGAAAACACTTAAAGGACACAAAAAAGGAAAATCTTTGACTAAACCAATATACAGTATATTCATGAGAGCATTTATTTGGTATTCTGTAATGATACATAGTAATTGAATATAAGTTTTTTTTTAATTCAGTATACTATATAATAAAGTTTTTAGCTATCCTTTAAAAACAAACAAACAAAAAGATGGAAATAACACTAACAAGCAAGTGTGTCATAAGAGGGGATGCTTATAGAAACCAGAACAACAAATACGAAAGTGCAGATTCCACTTGACTAGAGAGGGGTCAAGTGCCTCCCTCAGTGTGCTCTTGCCCTTCACATCACATAGACTTACATTATCCAGGTCCTTCCGCAATGCAATCTTGCTGGTCACCAGCTCATGGGCTAAGTCATCGTTTTCTTGTTCCAACCTCATGTTAGCTTCTTGTAGGCGTCTATTCTCTCGCTGAAGGGTACAAAGAAACCACATACAGACACATGAAAATTAGATGGACATGGCGATTTCTCAGGACTAAAGCTCAATGCAGATTTCTGAGACCTAAAGAAATAAGAGATGTGGCTGGTCCTGATGTGTTTCTGAACCAAAAATTTCTTCTTTTCTATCTCCATAAAGAAATATTTAACGGATTTAAGTAAACTTGTCAAGCATCTATTTCTTATTAACTATGATGAAAGGTCACTGAACTGTAACAAACTAGGCAGCTGGTTTCAAGCAAAATAGACCTTACCTTCTCTTTTGCAAACTCAGACTGAAACTTGAACCTAGATACAGCAGAAATGGATCTTAAAAAAGACTCAGTATAGCTAGTTAAAGGCACAATTACATGAAATAAAAGGCTGAAAGTTCCTCATATCATCTAAGGCCGTAAGTAAACAAACCTCAAATCGCTCGATGGGGTCTTCTTGTTGGGCCTGCTGTTCCCTCATGGTGTGATATTCTTTTTCATATTTTTTCAGTTTCTTCTGACTAATCTGTAGGATAAACAACAGCACAAATTAAGAAGTGGTGAGGCCACTTGCAAGGAAAACTAAGACTTCTGCTGACCAGGGCAACTCATCGCTATGGTGTTTTCTACTTTTGGAGAAAATCATCAGAATTGGGTATAAGCTCAGGATCCAAATTCTTAATGACTACTGTACCTAAGATTGTGTTGGAGACATTTAGTTCCTAGGGTTTTTATTGACAGTATTTCAATGAAACTCTACTGATGGCCCCTCCTGAGTTCTGGGTCCTATGTGTCACTACTACTATGTCACCATTTTTTCCCAGGCTTTTGCAATTGGGCATGTGTGCTCACTAAAGAGAGATATAGAGAGAGAAAGTAGGAAATCATCCAGGGAGGGCATGGCCACACTGCAATCCCTTCTCCTCCAGTCTCATTTCAGGATTTTGGGCACGCATGGACATGTGCTCAGTGTGATTTTCAAGCCACTGGGTTTGGGACTCAACACTGTGGTCAGCCATGTGGAATTCTGCGCCTTAACCACCATGCCACTTGTTGGCCCCTAAAGCTACCATTTCATTTAGCACATACCAGTACTGCTACTAAGTGGTTTAAATCTGTGACCTCATAAAAGCCCTATACTACTCCTCATTTCATGGGCAAGTTAAGTGAGAGATAAGAAGGTTATTTAGTTTCACCAAGATCAATCAATAAAAGCCTAGAAGATCTGGGATTTGAGCCCAGGCAACTGGACTCTATCCAAAATTCAAGTTATAGCCACGTCACCAACCTACTACTTTCTTTATCCCTTTTCCTCTCTTACAACTCTTTCTGTATCCTTCAAATAGACACAATTTTCTCCAACCTTAAAAACACAGCTCTCTGGCTGCTCCACTTAAGACACTCTTTTGCCCCATTAACCTACTGTCCTCTGTCTCCCAAGTTTTGCTGTTGTTTTAATTTGCTACAGGCAAAAACACACCAAAACCCCTTTTCCTCCATTCTTCTCTTAGGGTTTTGGCTACACAGATATGCCCATGAGCTTGGTCTGTTTTTCAAGCCCCTAGGTCCAGGTCTCAAACTGTACAACTAGCCATCGAACTAAGCTGCCTTAATCACCATGCAATATGGCCAGCCCCTCTCAAGCCCTTTAGTACCAACTACTGCAAACCATGGGTCTCAATCTTTTGCACTTCATGGCCTCCCCTTTACTCTCCCTAAATCCAGGTTTTGCTCTCACAGTCCTATAGAGTACCTTTTAGAGGGTCACTAGTGGTTTATGTTCCACTCCATCTAGGAGTCCTACCTCTCCTCAGCTAGACTTCAAAATGCCTTGCCTTTCGTGTTTAAACATAACCAATCCTCTCCTCTTTCTGCTAGTAAATCTTTTCTCTTTTTATTCTCTTGGCTCTCCTACTGAAAACATTTTTCCTCTTTGCTGGCTGTTCCCTTTTCTTTTTCTAATCCAGCCCATGACCAAGGGACATACTTCAAGATGCAAATGACTTTTGTTTGATTCCATCTTCTAAACTGTTAGCCCATTCACTATGGTGTTTATAAAAGTACATTTTTACACATTATAAAATATAACAAATTAGTAGGCTGAGGCAGAGGACTGTGACAGTGTGACTGTCTTCAGGGGGAAAAATTGTAAGCTGTAACAAGTAGAAAAGTGATGAAACAGATACATGCAATTTAAAAAACAATTATAAAGCCAATGTCCCTCTCTTCTCAAAACTTCAATATCCAGCACTAAACTGCTGATTCACTTATCTTCCATTGAGTCCCCAGGGCCAGGTAACTGAGTCACTCAGGACTAATCCAGTCCAACTTATTTTATAGAGGAAACTGAGACCTAGAAAGGGGATAGAGTAGGCCCATGTTTGCTGCGATAGTGTCAGCATCTCCAGTTCCCCGTTCTGTTCTTCCCTGCTCTCCTAACTCCTGCTGCCTGGTGTCCTTTCCCAGACTCCAGGGACACCTCCTCTAGTTGGGATGTTTACAAGTCTGCCTCAGTTGGAGCTCTATCCTTAGAATTTGGCTGTTACCCAAGGATAGGCAGCCAGAAAGACAGCAATGTGCTCTGGCTACAGTCTATAGAGAGATGCCTATTAAGCACTTGCGGTGAGAACATGGGCTGAAAAGTGACATTTTTAAACCTATATCTTTTGCGGTTTAAGGGCAATGCTGGGGGTAAACTTCTACTGTGTACCTACGCGATTCACAAAGAAAGAACCTAAATAAAACTTTTGTGTGATCAGTAAATTCATAAACGATCCTAACAGATCAATAGTAGCAGAACAGAAAATAAATGAGGTTTGTGGGCAGTTAACAGTTCCTCCCAGTGCTCTCTGCAGTCTGGGAAAATGAGAAGGGAGAGCAGGGGGAATGAAGTTTCCCCTTGCATTTTGTAAAAAAATAATTAAAAAAAATTTATTGACACCAAATCCTATAAGGCATTTTCACAAATCTTTAGGATTATTCAACTTTTTTTTTTGAGAGGTTTTTTTTTTCCGCTATAGGGCGCGTGCGCTCGCCAGACAGACAAAGAGAGAGACAGAGAGACAGAAAGCGAGAAATCACCCCCCAAGGGGGATGGTCACGCCGCAATCCCTTCTCCATTCTCCTCTCGGGATCTTGGGCACACACGCACACACGCCCGGCGTGAGTTCTAAGCCACCGGGTCCGGGACGCGAACCAAGGTTGACTACGTGGGAGTCCAGCGACATAGCCATTATGCTAACTGCTGGTTCCCTTTTTTTTTTTTTGAGAGGTTTTTGCTATAGGGCTCATGCGCTCGCCAGACAGACAGAGACAGAGAGACAGAAAGCAAGAAATCACCCCCCAGGGGGGGGATGGCCACTGTAATCCCTTCTCCTCCATTCCTTTCTCAGGATCTTGGGCATGCACGCACACACGCCCGGCGTGAGTTTAAGCCGCCGGGTTCAGGACTCAAACTGCGGTCGACTCTGTGTGAGTCCAGCGACACAGCCATTATGCTAACTGCTGGTCCTAAGGATTCTTCAACTTTTGATTCTCATGCTGGAGTAAGGAAGAATGAACATTTCTCCCATTTAAACATTTTAGCCTTTTAAACTATATAACACAAATACATTAAAAAAAAAAGAGAGAGAGAGATTTTTGCTATAGGGCATATTTGCTCATGGAGACAGAGACAAAGTAAGCGAAAAATCACCTCTTTCTCCCCCATCTCCTCTCGGGTTTAAGGCAGCATGGATACACATCTGGTTGGAGCCGGTTGGAGCCACCGGATCTGAGACTTGAACTGCAGTCCACTATGTGGGAGTCCAGTGATACAACCATTACACCACTTGCTGGTCCTCGTAAGTACACATTTTGAAAGACTAATGACAAAACAATTTCTTCTATATTTCATTATCTCTTATTCTCAAAGAAACAGGATTGCTTTTCCCTCAGCACCTTAATAACAATTCATGTATGCTAAGTATCTGAACACACACCACCCCACAGGGTCCTCACACTTTCATGACAGGATACCAGCATGTCTTTTCACTTCCCGCATGTTTTCCAAGGCTTCTAAGTTGAACATGAATTTTATAATTAAAGAACCAAACAAATGTAAAAATGCTGTTTAAAATGATTTTCATAATGATCCTGGACTTCTCACTGACAGAGGTCTGCCCCACCTCTATAGGCGTCCACGCTTGGTCGCTCTAGCACTGCACACTGCTGAGCTCCACTGTCTGTTGCAGAGCTGGCTGGCCCAGGGTTCTGCCTTCTTCACCAGTCCCACTTCTCTTGTTCTCAGCCTTCTCTTTCTTCCTTCATCCCGCACCTCTCCTCGCCACTACCACAAACATGAAGTAAAGAAAAACACCCTAATGTCTCCTGAGTACACAGCAGACGCTGACTTTTGGAGTTTGGGTAGCTGTATACCAACTCATTGAGACTGCCTCTTGAGGCACAGGCCCCAAGAAAAGGACTGGGACCTAACACCTGGTGGGGAACCAGGAGACGCCAACAGCAGGAACAGCAATGTCGTAGGAGCAACTGGGACCTCTCAACGTCTTCTCCAGGCCAGGACTCTGTCTCATTCATTACTGTCCCCTGTCCATTAACATATAGAGTGCTCAGAAATGTTTGCTAAATTAACAAGAAAGGATTTTCTCTTTCCTGCATTGACCTTTCTTGCGGACAGAAATGGCAACCAGAGTAGACAGCCACTGATCGCCTTTTCCTTCTCCCTGGACCACTCCACACCTGACCCACTTCTATTCACCCAGCCCAGGGGTCCACCAGCACTTCCTTCATATACCTTTCCCTCGCACTCCCTTCTGGTATCTGGCTAGGTGTTTTGGTTCCACATCCTCAGAGCATCGAGTCAGTTCCTCCATGGTACCTATCTAAGCTCACTGTTATACAGGTGCTTGCTTCACTATCTTCCCACTAGGAGAGAGGCCGCAACTGTTTGCTCACTACTATCTCCACTTCCAGCTCAATGCTTAAGCATGAAGATACTTAATGAACAGAGACATCATCCTCACACTTCAAAGTCAAAAAGTTATCTTGCCTTTCTATTACTGATAAAAATAATGTTTAAATTGAATTCAGAAAGCCAGGGAAGCTATGGATTCAGTCTCAGATCTTTCAATCCCACCCACTGTTAGATGACTCCTATCAGAAGGCTTCAGAAATCACAGCTTTGCATACGGACATTTTTGTCCTCACAGAAGATTAAATTTGAAATTCAATCCTTGTTCTGTTTAAGTGTACTTTCAAGGGGAAAAAGAACCCTAACAAGTTCTTAGGATAAGACTGGGTTTAATTTAGGAAAAACCAATTTCATAACCCATCACAATTAGCATAGTGGTTCTTAACACTGTTAGGGACAGCACCATTTTGAAAGTCTCCTGAGAGCAATGGTTCCTCCCCCATAAAAAGGGCATAGAAACCAATTTCCCTTCTCCGCCCATAATAAAACATGTTACATACCATTTAAGAAGGTTCATAGGCCCTCTGAAGCCCATCCATGGTCCCAGGTAAAGA